AAGTGAGGAACTGCGAAGATTACTAATGGTATGATTAAATAAATGATATTTAAGGGCAATTTGATGTAGATTTTGGAGAAATGATTTTGCGAAAAGTGATTTATTTGGAGAAATGTCTGGTTAAAATGTAAGGAAAAGTTATGCTTCCATGTGCAAAATCATTTTATTGAGAGAATGTAATGAATTTTGAGGAATCTGTACCAAAAAGGGGCTTAGTATTTTTTATTTTTTTAAACAAGGTTTATCCATTTTTTAGAAGTAGTCTTCACCTTATCTGCTCAACAACTTATTTTTTTGTTCTTAATGCCCTTTTCTTACAGAAGGCTAAATGCGACTTCTCATAAGGACATTTTGTGATTCTGCAGGTCGATTGTTGAAGCATAGACCATCTAATACCATTTTGCTAACTGGACTTAGTGGAAGTGGTAAAACCATTATTTTTTGCCAGGTACGCATACGAAAAGTGGATAAGGTGACTGATAATTTTGGACAAATTAAATCAAGTATCAGCTTTATGGTGTAATCCAACTATAAGATATCATATGTTGCCTGTACTAGCTTCGAGACGGTTCATCTCATCAGGGTACTGTGACCTCAATGGAACCTAATGAAGGCACTTTTATACTACACTCTGAAATGACTAAGGTAATGCACTCTTTTACTGACAACTTGCATATGTTCTGTGTGTTCTTTGACTAGCATGTGTAATTAGGACAAGCCATCGAGAAACCTTAAAGTTAAGTAAAAAGGATTTTGTTGTTGCCCCAACTATGTTTAATTGTGCTCATCCAAGACTTTTCCTTGAAATATGTTAAACCCATTTGTCCTTGCCATATTTCATTCCAGAATTCAGGTGTAAGATTTGTCTATCTAAACCCTATTTTGGTTACGTTGCAGAAGGGCAAATTAAAGCCTGTTCATGTTGTTGATGTTCCTGGGCATTCCCGTCTTCGGTCCAAATTAGAAGAGTTCTTGCCTCAAGTGGCAGGCATTGTTTTTGTGGTGGATGCTGTTGAGTTCTTATCAAATAGTCGTGCAGCTTCAGAGTACGTGTTACCTGCAATTGATTTCAAGAGTACACATGCATACAAGAGTATAAATATTTTGGACTGTGATTCTAACATTTCATGCTTTTTTGTGATAGGTACCTATATGATATTTTAACCAAGGCAAGTGTTGTGAAGAAAAAAATTCCAATACTACTACTCTGCAACAAGGTGGATAAAGTTACTGCACACACGAAGGACTTCATCAGAAAACAGCTGGAAAAGGAAATGTAAGATAATTTTGTAGAATGGTCAAGCTTTCACTCAAAATAGTTACCATTCACTCTTTCATATTAATATGATTTTTTTTTTTTTATATGATTAGTCTGAGGATGTCTGATGCTCATTATTTTGTAACTCACTAAAAGCACATCATATATGCATAAAAACCAACAGCTTAGCTATTTCTTTGACAGAGAAAAATAGAATTGATTATAGTCTTTGAACTTAACGAGTGTGTGGATTTCCACTTCAGCAGCAGGAGAAGGCAGGTAGAAGAATACCAAAATTTTGTGAATGAACTTTTCTTCTAAAGGCCCAATCATCTAATGTGGGCTGATGATTTTTCTAATAGTAAATTAGGTTGTAAGTTGAGTGGTTTAAGGTTCTGTGTAAACACAGCTACAAAGCTAAAGGCAATTACATTGGAGTATGTTGAACAAGCTACGTTTTATGAAAAGGATGTTACACAATCAAGGAATGATATATGAAAGAAATAAGCAATGATTAAATGAAATGTAGGGGTAGATGTTTACACAATGATTCATAGAGAGGAAATGATAAAAACTAAAAGTGATCATGCTTGGAACATGGTAAAGACAGTGCTTAACAATATATCAAAATCAATGATGTTGGTCTGAGCATACGAAAGTAACGCAGTCCAATGATCCATTGAAACATAGTGACACTATTTGATTATAAGCAAATTTAGAGGACGATGAAAAACCTAAATGTGAAAGAGGTTTTGTTTATTCATACCCAGATATTGTGAGTTAAACGTATCATTCTATTGGTTTACGATAGCAGATATGACAGATGAATCTAGCTTAAAACTTCTGTCTTGGACTCTTATCCCTATTTCTAGTTCATATAAAAACTAGTGCTGCTTAGTATTACAAGCAATATTTTTCCAGCCATTTGTGTTTGTAGTTCTCTTAGTTTCATGTTTTGTTTCGGAGCATGCTATTATTAAATAAAATTATGTTCCTCTGTATGCAAGTGACGGTTAGCCAATAAATTGACTCCTTTGTGACTCAGTGATAAGCTTCGTTCATCAAGAGCAGCTCTATCTTCAGCAGATATTGCCAATGAATACACACTCGGGGTACCTGGAGAAGCCTTTGCATTTTCTCAGTGTCATAACAAAGTTACAGTTGCAGAAGCATCTGGTTTGACTGGTGACCTCTCTCAGTTAGAGCAGTTTATTAGGGAGCATGTAAATCCTTAATATCACAGATACTTGAAAGTATGATTTGCTTTATTGTGAGAGATTATTGGCCTGTCCGGTTTCCTTCTTGCTTGATCATACTGGTGCAGGGAAAAGCTGAAATGTGTTATGGAGGAAAAAAAAAAATCTTGAGTGGAAAGTTTCTACTATATGTTAGACATTGATGATTGATTAATTCAGATTATTGTGTTAATTGCAGATCTGGAGGAACTGTAATTTTTCTTGTTTGATGGTAGTTCATGTAATGCTTGATTGGTGTGAATTATAGTCTCTTGAATCCTTCTTTTCTATTGAACAGCTTATTTAAAAACTCGAGTTACTAGACCAGGGTTGATCAACTTGAACACATAAGAACTTGCATAACACGGTGGAAACCTCACATATAGCGGTGTTTGCTTGATTTTACTTGATGAGTTTGCTGGATTTGACTCTGGTTGACAAAACGAAAGTAAAGCTATAGTTCTTTTATGGTATTTTTTGTGAGTTGAATTGGACAGGGCTAGTCGTGATAGAAAAAGACCAGCCTTTAGAGGTTAGACACATGCATAATTTTATAAAGCATTGAGACTTTAATGCTAGGGCCCTGTTCGTCACCTTATAAAGCCGAGCTTGTGAGCTGGCTCGGCTCATTTGCCACCCTGAGTATGTTTGAAATAAGCAAAAACCCAATGTCGAGCACGAAATCTCAAGTCAATTTGTAATGGGAAAATAGGCAATAATAAACATGATAACATACAATACTATAATACAACTCCTTTTTGTTGCTTAATTGATTGGTGGCAGAAGCCTGGACCTAATTTTTTTTTTTTCATTTTTTAGGTGGCGGCACACTTGTGTATTTTAACATGGTTTCCTTTCAAAAAGTTCGACAAATTTTATTTACATAGGATATAGAAAAAAAAAACACCTCAAAAGCAAAAGCTATAGAAACCTTAACTTTTCCTAATGATTCCTTGTTGTAACTTCCACTGTCCTAATTAATGGATAATCTATTATAACTTATAAGCACGCCCTTTAAAATTTAAGAACTTCGCATAAACAGATGGACAGGAAACTGACTTTCCACCAATGATCTTATAATTAAAAAGACAAACTGCAAATGATTGTTCAAATAAAACAATTATTTAAGTACTGTAAAGAAGAATATTTGGACATGAACAATAAAGTTCTAAATTATTGGTTATCAACCCTTGTTTAGAGTTCGACTATCGTGTATGGTACAATAGATTGAATAAATCTTCGTTTTGCCCTCATTCTCTTTCATTTTTTTCCTATCTAATTTTCAACCACACAATTTTCCATAAAATAATATTACATGTAAATCGAATATTTTTTATTCTTTTTCAACCACACATTCTTTAAAAAACACTATTCCAAACATTAAAATTTGGAAAAATTGGGGGTCAAACGGGGGCTAAGATTGGAGAGGACAATTGACAATTTTTTTCACGTGTTTCTGGTTAGTAGCAAATGTTACGTGGAAAGACACATCAAAATAGCCAAACATGAATTTAGTCAAGTTGTTCAGCTAACGCTAATCTTAGCAATGTAGTCGTAGCTAGTATGTGTGGAGCCTAGAGGCTGTGAACACTTACACCTTTGATCGGGTATATTGCCAAGTTTTATTATTGCATTGTGTATCGAGTATTCCACGCACGAAGCAGACTGTCCTAAAGTTACTACAATTTAAAGAATTTTTAAAGCAAGGATGTTGCAAGTGAGAAGGTTGGGAAAATTGTACTATTCGTTTCTATTACGATGGAAATTGCATTAACAAGTGAATGCAGCTCTCGAGACAGTAAAAAATCTTGTCGACAATTTCATTTAATATATTATTTGTCCATGAAAATGAATTACAGCTTAATCCTTAATGTATTGCACGTCATGAGCAGCATACAACATATAAGCATGCTATAACTTAGTACTAGTGAGAAAGAGTACTATACCCCTTTTCGATGGAAATTAAAATCTTATTATATTGGAGTCAAAGTTAACAGTTAGTTTTAATCACATACTTCATGTGACTTATAACTTTTCAATCACACATTTAATGAACTTTTATTAAAATCGACTAAAAATTTAATTTTAATCATTGCCAAACAGTGGCTATATCACGATACGCTAACAAAAGAGAAATGGGCAAAAATCTATAGTCACCCTGCTACTTATTATTAGAAAAGATGCTGAGCTTGAACAATGAGAGATAAAGTCTCAAGACTCTTGAGAGACTCAGAATCTTATGTCAAAACGACCCGTTAAATAGATATATCAAATAGGAAGGCTACACTTGTTATTTGAAGACATGGTAGGACTATTTCTATAGCGTAAAACTATATAAACGGTCACTTATAACCACCTCATTCTCAGTCTCAAACGAACGGGGCACCTCAAAGTAATCAACCAGCCATTAGCCTCTGCTGCAAAAACATTCATTGAAGAAGCAGAAGTGAAAAGTTGTGACATGAAGGAAAACAAAATTTCCTCTCTTCTTTTTATTTTTGTACTTTGGCTCATAATTTTCGCTGCATTTTCCGTCGAGGCGAAGAAAAACCATAAGAATAAGAGCAAAATGCACAAGCATAATAAAAAAAGGCATGGTAATTATTTTGCAAACTTTCCTTCTCCTTCTCCTTCTCCTTCTCCTTCTCCTTCTTCTTCTCCTGCACCGTCTGGCGTGTATCCAACGCAGTCGGCCACTTTCAATATCTTGTCATTTAGAGCTAAGGGTAATGGAGTTTCTGATGATTCCAAGGTAAAGCAGATTGCATATGAATATACATATTTGATCTTGTATTTATTTTTCTGTTGAATATTCAACATGAATCTAATCTATCAATTCAATGTTTTAACCAAACAGGCACTTTTAGCAGCCTGGAAAAGTGCTTGCAAAGTGACTGGAGCTGTCATAGAGATTCCTTCAGAATTTAAGTTTCTCATCAAACCCATAACACTTCGAGGCCCCTGCATGACACACCTAGTTTTTCAGGTTAGTGAATTGTTACGAATTTATAAGCTACTTTTACTGAAATGTTTTTGACATATTCTTTAACAGATGTTGAGGTGGTATGCATTTTGGCCTTTGATTTGAATTTCAAGGGCCAAAATGCGTGTCATCAGAGCATCTGTCAAAGAATCTGTAAATAGAATTGTATAAATAGCGTGGTTTAATGATAAATGGAAATGAAATTATAAAACGAGCAAAGCACACACTGATAGAAAGCAGTACACCCTCAATTTGAGAGTATCGTCCGCTAGTTGCTTCATTGAGAAAATATAAGTTTTATGTACACACCTCTCTCGCTCTAAAAATGCTTTATACATGTACAAACATATTAGGAACCTTATATATTATTGGAAAAAACATTATGCTTCTTAAAAATACAGTACATTCGAAAAATATTAGGAGATTTATTCTTCTTTGTTTTGTACAAGCTATTTTAAGTAGAATTTACTAATTAATGGAAATCCAAACAGATTGATGGGACTATTATGGCCCCTCCGAATGTAGGTTCATGGTCAAAATCCAGTTTGTATCAGTGGATAAACTTCAAATGGCTACATAATTTTACCATCCAAGGTACAGGTATAGTTGATGGGCAAGGTTCTAACTGGTGGAGTTCTTCACAGATAAATCCCTTGAAGGTTAGTAGAAATGTAATTATATATTTTGTGTGAAAATTGTCTTGGTTAATTGTTTTTTTCCCTTTATCATGGTTGTTTGACAGAAGAAGAGATCCAAGATTATTCCGGACATGAAACCAACTGTAAGAAATTTCTCAAACCTATAGTTTCATTTGAGGCCTGCTTTAACAGAAATCTGCATCTCTTCATCTGATTTTGCGAGGAAAATACAAATTGATATAGATTCATTCACTGATGACAGGCTTTAAGATTCTATGCTAGCTACAATATCACTGTTCGCGATGTTAGAATAGTAAACAGTCCTCTTTGTCACTTAAAATTCGACAACTCTGAAGGAGTGAAGATCAATAATATTACAATTTCTGCGCCTGAAACTAGCCCAAACACTGATGGGATTCACCTGCAGAACACCAAAGATGTAGAAATCCAGCATTCCAACATTGCATGTGGTAAGACAAAAAATTTCAGTCAAGAACCTATGCAGGCATGTTTGATATGTACCTCATAGGGGCGGAGCCAAGGGAGGACAATATTTTATTTTTGCACTGGGCTGCTACACAGAAGAAAAAGATTTCATAAAAAAATATTTTTACCTATATAAAAATAAATAAATAAATAAATAAAACTTAGTGGGCTCCTTATTGTTGCCCCTGCTTATATGTAGGGATGGCAACGGGACGGGTTTGAAGTGGGGTGGTGCCCAAACCCCGCCCCGCAACTTTTTGCCCCGTTTGTTGTCTAGTTTAATTTTTTAACATTTTCAAAGTTTCGAGTTATGTTATTATTAGAGAATAAAATACAAATTCAAAATGATTATTTTTCCCTTCATTGGGGGAGGGGGGGGGGGGCTACCAACCCATTCGGGGTAGGGCCAATTTTTTTGCAATCACTACTTATATGTGATTAGACAGGATAATGAACAATTATCTCATATGCCTATTTTCTTAATTCTGTATAGTTTTGTCCAGTCGAGCATACCAAATTTCTAGATATAGAATCGGTATTAAACAGAAAGTTACTTGCTGTTCTAACTCCTAACTTGCCTTGTTTTTCTGGCAGGAGATGATTGTGTATCAATACAAACTGGCTGCTCCAATGTTCACGTCCATCATATTAGCTGTGGCCCTGGACATGGAATAAGGTAATTATTACATCTAAAATTGAGGAATTCGAAATTTTTGGGAGATGAATAAAATACTGATTACTGATTTGTGAAATTACAGTTTAGGAGGACTAGGGAAAGACAGGAGTGTTGCATGTGTCTCAAATATCAAAGTTGAAAACATTTTCATGGCGAACACTCTTTATGGTGCAAGGATCAAGACATGGCAGGTACGATTATGAACCGAAATATGTTGGATTGTCTGGAGTCTAATTATACTGATCTCCTTGATCACGATCAACTTTATTTAGATTCTATATCAACCACAAATGCGACGTTAATTTTATTTGTGCTTTGCTCGTGCTCTTATTTGTTTTTGTTTATTACTGCTCTTGTAAGAAGGGATTAGGCCTTGATCCATGACACGATATCTAAAACTGTCGACTTTATTCCCTATTATACTTTTTTAAGCTAAATTTCCTTATTCATCTTTTTATGTTGTAGGGTGGTCTTGGATCAGTAAAAAACGTGACATTTTCCAACATTCAACTCTCAGAAGTTAAGGTCCCAATAATGATTGATCAATACTACTGTGACAAGAACATATGCAAGAATCAAACAGGAGCAGTGGCAGTTTCAGGAGTCAAATTCGATCAAATAATTGGAACTTATTCTGCGCAACCAATTCATTTAGCCTGCAGTAATTCTGTTCCATGCGTTGACGTTGATCTAATTGATATCCAATTAAAACCCTCTCCAGGAAGTGCAGGAATCCAGCAGGCATTGTGCTGGAACTCTTATGGAAAATCACGGGCACCCCTTGTTCCATCAAGCATGGATTATTGTGTGAGAAGCGGAAATGACTTGGTAAAAAGAATATCAAGATCATATGAAGATAGATGTTGATAAATAGTGATATGATCTCTCTCTCTCAGATAATTTGCTTCCCTTTTGCAATAGTTTTACTGCAAGGAGGAGATGGTGTGGATTTGCTTGCCGGGATAATATGTACAATTCCTGTTTCTATGAATGAAATAAATTGTGTTTTAACATGTCAAAACCAATTTTGGAAATCAAGCTTTTTAGAAATTCTTGAAGGTTGTTATTGTTTATTTTTACGAAAGAATACGGGGATGTTAGGTAGATGGGCAATATTTATTTTCTTAATACTATCAAGTCCATCTTGACAAACATCTCAAGTAATCTCATTATGCTCATTCGTCAAAAAAATATTCATGCGTCATGCCTTTGATGAATAGATGAATATCAATATGTGACGCGGCAAGCTAAAGATGTAATCAAGTAAATAATTTATTTTCCCTCTAATGAATTAAGCTTTTAAATGATGTGTTCAACATGTTTTTAGAACACACATAAGTTGTGTATTAAAATCTCATACCACTCATTTATAAAAAAAATGTCACATCACCCATCGAAGAAAAAATTATTTTCTATCTAACTGTTTAAATTTTTAATCTTCTATGATACAAATAATGGGATCATTATCGTTCTCCAATCATAAGATGACCTTGTAGGTATTTCATGCCGTTTCAGAGCAGTTCTTATGCTTCCAGACATGGAGGAGAGATCTTAGAGGTCGGTTACCTTTTTCAACGGTATAACAGTAGCTACGGTATCTCAGTAATTTTAGTTAGTTTATACCTTATTGCTGTCTGACTGTCCACCCGATTCTTTTGTTCACGTATTGCATAAACAAAGTAAAAGAGTACAAGGATAATTTAATTTAAGGAAAAATTTTGCGGGAGCACAGAGATTCTTTAAAGAAATTAAGAATTCAAATTGTGACAGGTAGATTAAGCACACATTGAGAACACATTTTCACTGATTTTGAAACGGATTTTGCAAGTAAAATTAGGAAATAAAACAAAATCAAATAAATAAGAAAACACACTGGGAGTGGAGTAGAATTCCGACAACAAGTGAGCCTAACAATAATATTAATTATCGAACTTTATTTTATTTTAAGTTAGTCATTTAATTATTCATTTTGTTTTAATACCAGTAATTTGTTAGTCCCTATCTAATCTACTAATGAAAAATTCTACGTGGCTAGCCATAAATCTCAATTATGTTAGAATTAAACCCTAATCGTTACTTTCGACAATAATAAAAAATAGAAAAGCAATCACAAAACAGCAACTCACCACTGTACCAGTACATCGTGTGCTGATTTGCAATCAAAAGAAAGTGTATAGCACGATTAAACTCCACATAATCTAACTTATATTGCAGTTAATGTGTTCTTATTATTCTTATTTTGCAAAATTCAAAACTTTGGTGACCATGAAACTTTATATGAAATTTCATGCTAATTGTAAAGATTTATGGTTCTATCTTAAAATGTCAACCTTATTAACAGAAGTAAATCAAACTCTTATAAATTGATCTATATTTTCATCTTTATTAGAGGTGGGAATATATCCCTTAGCATTCCCCTCAAGATTGTGGCCCTCATTTTTTGAGTTTTAATTGGATCGAATTGTTTTTTGGAGTTTAATAGGCTCTGATATTATGGAAAAATTTAGTGTTTCATCTTAAAATGTCAACTTTGTTAAGAGGAGTAGTTCAAACTCTTATAAACTGGTCTATGTTTTCATCGTTATTCGATGTGAAATTGTATCCCTTAACACTAATTACTCATTTATCTAATGAATCTTCGAGATAATTACACATCGAGTACTACTAAGCTTTTGAACACAATTATTATGAATTGTTCAAATTTGTGCCGGCGAGATGGTACCAATTAAAATTGGCGTTTCTTTTTCTTTGCGAATGGAAACACTTATCATGGAATTTTGAATGGTATGTATGACAATTATCTCAGATTGTTCACTGGAAAAAAATGAGCAATGGCCAAAAGGGCATAGATTAGTTAAAGGTATACAAAGGAATTGAGGGTGGTTGGATCTCAAATTGCGGGCCCACATTTTTCAGTTTATTGTTAGGTAGAAACATTTCTTTTAGGCTTTATTATAAAGGTAAAGGAAGCCAAATTAAGCACCGTCCTATGCACCATTTTTATGTATTTTTCAGTGCACGCGTGACCTCAATAATTATTAAAACATCATGAAAAGCTAAAGCTGATAGCCTGTCTCTTTCTGCATTCTCCCATTGCTCATTTGGTTAATTTTTTTTGTACAATCATTCGAAATTAATTCTTGTAGTCGATTTTGTTAAGGGTTAAATTCAATGTAAATAAGTATAAAAACATAAATCAGCATATAAGAGTTTGTGTTACTCCCCTTAACAAGACTTATTAAGGGATAAATTCAATATCAATATAAACCAACATATAAGGATTTTGTATACTCCTTTTAACAAGGCTGATATTTTAAAATTCAACCCAAATCTTAATAGATTTTATAGTCAATATATAATATGAATTAATCTACTTGTACAAAATTTATTTATAAATTAAGTGTTGAACAGTTTTTGGAATCAATAGCCTAGATTTTGCCAATACTTAGTTTGTAAACTAATTTTGTAAACAAACTTTATACAAGTAGGTTAATTCATATAATATATTGTATTGAAAATGATTGACAATTTAATGAACAATCTTTTTTAGTTTTTCTTCTTTAATATTTGTAAAAATTTGACCATTTATGGTTTACCCCTTGTTTTCCCAAAACGATGAAATGTAAAATACTTTCAAATCTTACAATATTTACCCAACTGCATAAAATACTTTATGATATCTACATTCTCTTTANATATCTTTTTTTTGTTCAAGCTAGATGTTCTGGATTTCCAAAGCTTGATCTATATGATAATGTTGGTCGCCCAACACTAGTAATCTTTGGGATGTTTGGATCCAACAATAGTAACATATGACCAAAGTTTTAGAACGTGTTATTCACCATAATTTGTGCATGTTTGGCATGAGGTATTAGTCTTGTCCAAGTTCGGTACGAAAGTATTAATCTCGTGCGTAGTTTGTACATGTCTAGTAAGAAGTATTAGACTTAACGGACATTATAGTAATCAAATATTTTAATTTTCTTTTCTTAATATCGTTGCCATTAAGTTTTATTTCTTTTAATTCTTTTTTATGTACATACTATATTCGTTCATTTCCAAGATAAAAAAAATGCGAAAAATCCTTTTATTCACTCAGCATTTGAAAAGCATTTCCAAAGGCTACTAGCTTTCGCTCCTCTCAAATCTACTCCAGTATTGATGCCAAGTAACAACATCCACAATGATGCATAAAGACATCAATGCAATCTTCATCTTCCATGCCAATCTCGTCTAGGGTTCTCTTAACAGCAAGTTTTTTCCATCATACATGAACACCATAGCTTTGTACTCCAAACTCTTTTCTTTGCAGTATGCTATCAATAGACGTTATATTTTATGGTCACATCTAACTCGGTAGTAGACTTCATCTCCATCTTGTATCAAATTGGAGATGAAGTACAAACGACCATTTTATAATCATTCATATATTATCTCAATTTTCTCTTTCTATTTGAGTCCTAACTTGAGCATTGGAGAGTCTATACAGAAACCCCTTTTGGCATGCGTTCTAACTTTTCCTTTTTGAGTGCATGAATTAGCTTGTGGGACTCAAATAATTGTGGATTGGTTGAAGTTTTTCAGAGATGTCTACCACGAAATTTGATATTTCACTGCTCGATCGCAATACAAGATTTTCGTTGCGGCAAGTAAAGATGAGAGCTATTTTGGCGCAGTTGGATTTGGACGATGTTTTGCTGGGTTTTGAGAAGATGTCAGCTAATTGGACAATGGAGAAGAAACAGCGGAAGGATCGGAAGGCTTTGTCATTGATTCATTTTCATCTATCAAACAATATTCCGCAGGACGTCTTGAAGGAGAAAACTGATGTTGCTTTGTGGTTGAAATTGGAGCAGTTGTGCATGACCAAGAGTCTTACTAGCAAACTGGCTTTAAAGCAGAAGTTGTATTCCAATCGCATGGCGGAAGGAGGGTCGTTGGAAGACCATATTGCTGTGTTCAATGAGATTGTCGTAGATTTAGAGACGTTGGAGGTTAAATACGATGAAGAGGATATAGTCTTGATCCTGTTATGTTCGCTGCCTGGTTCTTATGCATCGTTTCAGGACACCATTCTGTACAGTTGGGATACGTTGACTATAGACGATGTCTATGATGCTTTACATTCGAAGGAGAAGTTGAAGCATCTGGTTGGAGCTACATCAAGGGATGGAGAAGCTCTTGTATCTCATGGTGGTCAATGGAGGGACAGATTTAGGGAGAGCAACAATGTGTATTGCTTCTACTGCAGACGAAGAGGACACTTGAAGAAGGATTGTGAGAAGTTACAGGCTAAAGGTGATTTAGCTGCAAATCATAGAAGGCAATCATGGAATTCGGACGAGACTAATGTTATCGAGGATTTTCGGATGGCGGAGATGTGATGTTGACTGTGATTTCTGATGTGGAATCTAAGTCTAACAAGGAATGTGTTTCGATAGGAATTTATTTCAAACATATGAGACTGTTCAGCAAGGTGGAGTTGTAATGGGGAACAACGAGTCTTGCCGTATTGTTGGAATCGGTCGAGTCATATTGCGATTACAGGATGGGACGGTCAGAACACTTGGCCATGTTCGACATGTTCCAGATCTAAAGAGGAATCTCATCTCGCTGAGTACTCTGGATGCAAAAGGGTATAAATTCTCTGGTGGAGGTGGAGTCTTGAAAGTTCGAAGAGGTATCCGGGTTGTACTGGAGGGATGGAAGAGATCCCAATTGTACATATTGCAGGGAAGCGCAGAACCAGTTTTGAGACATCGGGACAAGTTTAGTACTGTGGTGTAGATACAGTTTGGTACAGTACCTCTTGTGTTGAGCTCTAGGTCGGTTCAGAACACTGTTAGAGAGAGCGTTGGTGATTCCGCTTTGCCACCAATTTCAGTGGATGCACTGTGTTCAAATGTCAGGGGTGGACTCATGAAGCATAGGTACAATGGTTTTATTGATGTCTGTGATGCTTTTGGAATCACTGAAGGTGACAATTCTAACAAGGGGCCTTCTGATCAAGCACATTGTTTGGTGTCTGCTACAGGGTGTGCTTCGACCCTGTTTGGTC